ATCCTTTCAGGCCAATCCATGAGATGGCTTGCAACTCTTCAAAAGTCCCAAATAAAGTCTGATAAGGGTCGCTTGCCTTGTTTCATTTCCATTAACTTCTCTTCATTCTCTGCCACCCTGTCTGGATTTTCAAATCTGAGTCTCAATAATCGAATAAACCCATTAACATCTTGTAATTCTGGGGCTGGTTCGTTGTGTAGTTGGGCCACCCAGTAAGATGCATCCCTTCATTCATCCCATCTGTTATGGCAGTAACCAAATTGCACTCTGTCGCATATTGATCTCCAAATTGGTCTATGTGGGACCGGATTCGAGTAAGGAAGTAATTAAAATGCTTATGGCAGCCATCGAAAATGGCTTTGAATGGTATTTGGTCCAGTCTGGGTCGTGGTTGGGGAGGTGGTACGGGCCTGGCACCTGCAGGTTGAACTGGAATGAAAGGAGCCTGATGGGCTGCGTATCTAGACTGGGCAGGGCCCTAAAGCCTAAGGCCCTGGGTTGTGCCTCTCTGGGAGAGGGGTCTCTGCAGGGTTGCTCCAATTGGGGTTTGCATTTGTGGTTGCCATGAGGAAGGTGGGTGTTGCCTGGTTCCCTGCCTGGTTGGAGGGGGAGTGCCTGCTGTCTGCATAGATCCCCTTCAATTTAGGGCTTTGTTGGCGCTGGCATCCATTGGCACTGAATCCACCCCTGGCCTGGATAAAATCCCCACCCTGGAGGGATACTTTCTGCATGGGGTAACCTTCTTCCTGGAAAGTGGGGAGCAGGACTTGGTGTTTGCAACATACCTCTGGTAGTCAGCACCTCTTGCTGGGCCTCTCCAACTGGCATCTGTGTAATCTCCTCGTCCCTCACGATACTTGGATAAGAGAAGATGGGTTGTGTCAGGCTCCAACTTGTCCAGACAGGCTGTGACTTTGAGACCAAGCTTGCCACTTTTAATTGCTGGAATTATTGTGGTAATTCCACCATCGATGGGCTCCCAGAATCAATCTTGGGGTTATCATCTTGAGAGAGTTCTGACTCAATTTGGGTCTCCTTCCTCCAGCCTGCTTCCTTTGCTGTATACAGAGGGCTAGGGAAAGATTTTTCTTCAGGCTGTCTGTATAAAGTTGTTTGGCAACTCCCTTACGAGTTGGAACGTCTTGGCCTGGCTCCCAAATCCTTTCTCTCCTCTGCCATTCTATAGGCATCTATCATCTCCTCCAAAGGGGGGCTGAAAGATTCAGCTAATGCTTCAGAGGGAGGGGCCCCACAAGCCCCATCCTGCTCACCTTCAGTGTTGGCTGATTCTTGAGCTTTCTCCATCACTGGAAAAAAAAGACTCTGGGGTATCAGCTTAAGCCCCGTTAGAAAAAAGTGAGTTCTGAAATAATGTCAGGGTTCCAGCCATTGTCCTGTTTAAACAGTAACTCCAACAAAAACATAATCTCGGAATACTTTATTAAAACCTTCTACTGGTAATGTCTGTGAAATTTCAGAACTGAAATCATTCTCAGACCTTCCCACAAAATTCAACCTTCCCCCTCCCACTTTTCTACACCTCATTAATCATGTGAACCAATTACTCTGCAGCTGCAATTTCTTAGTGCGACATACTAAATAACCTTGAACTTTCAAACTAAACTCTTTTTTTCCTTTTAGAACTATTCAATTACATCACACGCCCGCCCCCCCCCCCCCCCACACCATTCTTCAACTCTGTGACAGCGATGAATTCCAGAGCTGACAGATGGCCAACTGACTACACGTCCAGGGAAGGATCCCTGAAGGGTTCTTCCCTGGAATGTAGCTTCTTCAACTATCAACAGAAGGAACCAGCGTTCCTTTAGTTTATATGAATCTCCTGAGTTAGGGAAAGTCCCAAAATCATCCCACAAGATCCTGCGATGCATCAAAAGGTCTGCAAGAAGCTTCAGGAGCTACGCTTCAAAGCAGCTTGTGTGCCGAAAGCTGGGAGCAGGGCTGTAATCAATTTGTGGTTGAAGAAGTAGCTGTTCTGGAATTTATTTGTCAAACAGACAGTAAGTTGTGCCTTTCATTTATTAATCATTTTTAGGGACTATTGATCTTTATTAAGCTAAAAGAGGCTCTCTTTAGTTACAGCCTGTTATTTCTTTTTCAAGATCTGTGCCATTTGGGGGATTTCTTTTTGTTAAACAAGGATAAAGGCAGGGCTGTCAAACTCCCGGCCCGTGGGCCAGATGCGTCATGTGCTGGCCATGTCCACGCCTGGTTTAGCAAAGGGGAAAAAAGTCCCAATACGTCACATGATACCACCATGATGATGTGAGTTTGACACCCCTGTGCTAAGGCATGCTAAATTAAGGGAGTGTGGAGTATCTTTTTTAAAAAAAATGATGGAGAAATATAAGGGCAGAAAGTTCTGGTTCTAGTTTATTATTTTTAGTAATTTGTAGCTTGGTCTGCTTTGCTGTGGATGGCTAAAACTAAAACTTTCTGGTTTTTATGATTCCTGATTGGTCAGCAATTCTTAAGTGACTTAGTCAGCTACTCTCTGACTAAAGAGGAAGTTAAGAAGATGGAGGAGCAAATTATTAGAGATGTATTTGAAAATTCTTTAAATAAAATCCATCAGTTTATAGAACAGCTATGCTCCAAGGATATTAAAAAGACTACTCAAACTACTTCAGAGATGCAAATATGTGTAGAAAGTTACCAAACCACTGAGGGAATTTCACAAGTAGCTGACAATGCAGAGGAGTCAACTATAACTTTGGAATATAAACCTGACACCAATTTTAATTATGGTGGTTTAAATAGAAGTCTCTCAACACAATTGAAAGAAGAGCTCCAAGAAAATTTGCAACTTTTAAAAGGACAGGTTTGGGACTTTTTCCTCCTGAATATTAACAAGGTTGAGAAATCCTTGAGAAAAAGAGCAGCTTATAAACTACTTGACAAACATTCCAGAGAAGAAAAATATTTTATTCCATGAAGACAAGCTGGAATGCGTGACTTAAACTTAATGAGTCAATTGGAATTAGGATGGATTTTCATCCATTTGATATTTGTAATTGAAAGAAAGTCTTAATCTAAAGTTTTAAAATGTATTTTTTTCCTTTATATATAATGCTTAAGTAATTCCTGAAGTTTGAAAAATACTATTGAAAGTGTATTGGAAAATATCTATGTTAAGAGAAAGTTAAAGAAAAAGTTGTATTAGTTTAAAGAAAAATCTAGAACTTTAAAAAGGATGTGTACGAGAAGAAAAAAATATTCTATGAGGGTAACTTAGAGAGAGTGATTTAAATTGAATAAGTTAACTGGAGTTAGTTGGTGCCCCCAGCACCCCGTTTTCAGCCTGGATGGCCTCCTGCAGCACTTTGCCAGCCAAAACGGGGTGCGGGGGGGTTGTGCGCCTCCTTCCCATTTCTGCTGGGTCTGCTGCATCGCCATGGCGTCGATGGGGATGCAGCTTTCCCTGCTCGGGGTGGCTGCCTTTTACCTGCTGGGCCTGGGCATGCTCTATCGCCTCTACTAGTCCTTCCTAGCTGGCTGCTTTGCCTCATTCGGGCTGGGCGGGTCTGCCGAGAGGAAGCCCGCAGTGGGGCTGAGGTGCATCAGGTGTGTGAGGAGAATGCACTCCATGCACAGGCCAAGGGCAAGACCTGCAAGGGGGCCAAGGTGACCAGCAGTGACCTGCTCTCCAACTGCAAGCAAAAACAGATAGTGGGACAGAGTAAGCGTGTCCAGAGGTCTGCATCACGTCCCTGCCCCTGCCTCTGCCTGCTGCTTGGATGGGCAGCCCGGTGGTAGAAGCGGGCTTCAGAGCTGCAGATGGAAACCATCGGCCCCTGAGTACAAAGGGTGGTGAATGTGCAGTGGCCAACAGTTTCTGGCTTCAGCCACCCAGCCCCCTGCCTCGCGTCACCTCATCCCGTGGGACCAGCCTTCCACCCACTTCCCCACCCACCAGAGAACCCTGCCCAGACCCTACATGTGGCTCCCACACAAGTGACATTGAGCTGGCCACGACCACCCTGGGCCACACCCCTCCCCCCACCGTCCCGGTCCCCAGACGACAACCACAATGCTGATCTGGGCCTCAGTGAAATCGAGTTTGACACCCCTGACTTAAAACAACCCCGATGGTGCCTCCTTTTTTCTCCAACAATATGCTGGGCCCTGAATGCCTGAAATGACATTGACAAATCAATCTTTCTTTTTTTAGAAGCCAGAAAGCATGGAAATTGACTGTTAGCAATTTATTATTAAAAAAGGAATGGTAGCAATGTAGACCACATCAGTATTTCTGCTCACACGTGTGCGCACACACACACACACACACGTGGATGTTTTAAACAGTATGGTCAATCTGGGGAAAAAAGGATGCAAATGAGGTGATTAGATAAGTTCATTAAACGAAATACCATAAGAGCACAGGTTCAATATTATATTACTATAGCTTTTATTATTGACTTTACAGGAATTAAATAAACAGAAAAACAAAAGGCAACTTCTTCAACACTGCCATACAGCCAACTATTACACACTCAGTTTTTGCATACTTGATAGTAGCAAGAAATAGTAAAAACTACATGTCAAAAAACCAGAGCAAAAATTATGGCAGCTATTAACTTGTATTGAAAGGAACATATAATTAAATTACTGTTAAGATAAACATACTGGAAAATGCACCTACATTCTTTAAATGTTTGTCTTCTGAACTGCTCAAATGAAATTATGTGAAGAGTCAAGATTTGCACATATTTTTGGCTGATAGAAGTTTTCCCAGTTCACAGCTTATGGCATGCTTGGAACAAACAAGTTCAATTATAAATCCTTCTACACAATCAAGTATGATGACTTAGGAAAATAAAAGTTTATTACCTGTAAACACACAAATATACAAGCCTTTCCTTCCTTAAATAAATGTAGTTTCACAATATATTACCTTCTGTACTTTCCTCTTTCTCTTCTGTCTCTGTCCCTATCACATATTCTTTCCCTTTCCCTCTCCCTGCCCCGTTCCTGATCTCTGTCTCTTCTGGTATCTTGGGGCCGACCTCGTTCCCGCTCCCATTCTCTCTCTCTCGAGGCCTGCTTCTCCGGCTGCTGACAACTGCTTGTGTCCGTCGTAGAAAGTCATCTACCCTCATGTCATAGTCATGCTATGGAAGACAGAATAACTTCAAATATCACTGAGTTTAAAATCAGAATTCCTTCTACCAACTTGGGAGTTCCTAGAAATACTTGATCTAAAGGGCTACCAATTATCCAGAGAAAGATAGTTCACTGTTCTAATCTTAAGATTGTTAGTATATACTAAAGACTACTTTTATTTAGGTAGTAACAATCTTGCAAGTCTGATCGTGCTCCTCCTTTCTTATAACCATGTGATTTAGGAAGATGTCTGTCAGAGTTGTTTGTGCACATTTTCTACACGACCTAGACTTAATCTATGTTTTTCCTTGGTTCTTTGATAACTCTCCCCTTTCTGCCTCAGGGCCGTCCTCTTTATTCTCTACAATTTTCACATGTTGATCTTTATTTTTTTAACTGAAATTTTTGAAATAGGCTACTTGCAAACCTTACCACACTGAAGTTTAGAAATACGTAAATATATATTTTCCCCTTTCATTCAATTGTGTCCAATTCTTGAAGACTGCCTGGACAAGTCCCTGAAGTTTTCTTGACAAGGTTTTTCAGAAGTAGTTTGCCATTTCCTTGTAACTAGGGCTGAAAGAGTGACTGACCCAAGGTCACTCACTTGGTGTTGTGCCTAAGGTGCAATTAGAACTCACAGTCTTCTGCTTTCTAGCCTGATGCCTTAATCACTACACCAAACTGGCTCTCATGTAAATATCTAGACCTAGATATTTAGCTATAGATATTTCATAATGAACATAATGGTTCTCATGTGTGCATTTTCCTAACTTGGCACAGTGACTCAGGCTGCACTTACCACTCGTTTATCCCTGTGCTGTGCATCATGTGGTATGGGATGGCATCCTGAGTAAGAAGGATGAGCCTGTGGAGGAGGAGCATGGTGCTGGTAGTATGGGTGATGGGGAGACTGTTCTATACCTGGGTAAGGAGGCTGAAAAGAAACATTTCCCTGTTACTCCAGTAATCTGCAACCCCAGAACATAGCAGCATCAACCAGAAAATATAACTCAACATTTGAACAATACTGCAAGCATGAAAATGCTTCAAAGGAGATATATCTAAATGATATTTGGATCCTCATGTGATGAAACCTTTTTGCAACAAGTACATTTTCACAACTGACCCCAGAAAAAGGCTGAAGTTATTTAGTGCATTTCCTCATACCTACTGCTAGTAAATGGTGCGGTGACTCAGCAGTTAAAATGCTGGACTTGTTGGCTGGAAAGCTGGCAGTCCAGGTTCAAGACCTGAGCTCCACGTGACAGGGTGAGTTCCCGTCCTCGTCCAAGCTCCTGGCATACTAGCAGTTTGAAAGCATCCAAATGCAAGTAGATAAATAGGTACCACTTCAGTGGGAAGGTGACAGCGCTCCGTGACATCATGCTGGCCACATGACCGTAGAAATGTCTTTGGACAGTGCTAGCTCAAAGGCCTTGAAACGGAGATGAGCACTGCCCCCTACAGTCAGCAACGACTAGTGGAGTAAAAACCATCTGTAGGGACTCTTTTACTGCTAGTAAAAGACTCCCTTAACTATCTTCTTTGTAATATGATAGAATAGCATTCCCTCAATAAGGAAGCTCAATTGTTCAATAAAACCTTCAACTGATATCACCCTATTCATTATTACTGCGTTAGGACTGTGCATCAACTACAAATTTGGTTTTGGACCTTATTTGGTCATTCAAAAGCAAAGTTTCTTTTAGGAGGATTCAAAGCATCCTCCTCCACCTGGATCTTGATTAGAAAATCCAACCTCCCCAATCTCTCATTATCACTGAGAAACAATGATTACTTTTGTTTGATACCCTGTTTCTCCAACAATACGGCCTCCCCAAATAGGAAGTCCCAGCATGTTTTATAGGCATGAAATGAAATTAAGCCCCTCCCCCCAAATTAAGGCCTATATTAAAACATGCGAAATGGGGGGGAATGGTGGGGGGGCTTGCCGTTAGGAAGTACTTTTGTTGCACACCCGGATATGGTGCTGCCTGCGTTGACCCCGATACGAAGTGCCCCACCAACGCCGAGGTCAACATCCAAGCCATTGCTGCCCGCCCACCCGAAGATGCAAGGGGGGGGATTAAGTCACCCCCGAAAAGAGCCATTTTTTCGGTGCTCAAAAAAAAATAAGACCCGGCCTTATTATATGAGAAACACGGTAGTATTTATGATCTCCTATTGGAGGATCCCTTATGAAGAATACAGTGTACCAAATTATACTGTACATCAATGGGTTTGTGAGAATTCATTTTACAAAGGACAGAAACTGGTGGCAATTTAATTTCTTTAAAGAAAAAGTGAATACCGGTTGACTATTATGAGACAGGACCTGCCAAGTTTCATATGATTTTGCTCAGGAAAGCTGTGCAAAAGTAGACTCCCACAGTAGACTTTTTGCGGCTAAGTTCATGAAAACAGTAAAAATTAAGCTACTGCAAAATATTCCATATACAAAGTAAATTCAATTCAATTCTTTCAGGTCAATGGTGTTCTAATTATCAAATAAAACATGCATTTTGAGTAAATATATTGGGGGGCAGGACTGGAGAATGAGAAAAGTGTGTTGGTGTTATCTAAAGGGAGATAGGGAAAACATATTGGAGTAACAAGAATGGAGGTGGTTGGAGGTAAGTTCTCAGCTGGTCTCAACAGGAAGTTTTTAAAAGGGTTTTCTTTTTAGAAATGCATCACAAAAACTAAAATACTAGAACTGTAAGAGCAGTTGTGTTGGAACTGAATGTCCTGAAATTTCCATTTCTCTTTCAAACAATGTTGAACAGTTTTATGACATGGTTTGGTAATTTTCTTTTAAAATCCTTCTGGAAAATCAGAATCTATCTTGAATACTACAAATCATTTCCAATTTGGGGGTTAACTTCCCCAAGAAAGCAGCTGGATCACCACAGAACACCTGGAGGAGAAATGGAATGTTCTAAAAATGTTCTGGAATCACATAGCTTATGTCAGTCTTGTGAGGAAGGAAGTCCACCCAATTGAACTAATTCTACTTTATTCTAAAGTTACATTATTAGAATCTTACAGTTCTGAAAGTACATTTCTCCCCTGGTGCCTTTACAGCTCAAGAAACCAAGGGAGTGTCACTTCTGCGATGTTTGCCATGCCCATATTACTGCTACATGCTAAGCTGCCTCTTATCCAACTGTTCCCCTGGTTGAGGGTTCTTCCCTCTCTTCTAAGGTTATTTCCACATACCATTGCATCTATGGCCTCTTATTGATTAATTGAGACAATTTTTCTTTCTCCTCATACTCATCTGATATGCTACTATTTCTAACGCAGCATTTCTTTGGAGAATATTAAGATCTGTTTTTCAGCGATGGGTTTTATTACAGCTAGTCCTCAACTTATGACCAGTCATTCAAAAACCTTCTGCATTTATGATGGAACAGGTGCTTTAAAGTCCGTAAAGCTCCACTGGCCATCATATATGGTCACGCTACAACCTGGTCACATGACCGTATGTCAAGTGCTTGGCAGCTGGTCACCTTTATGACCAATCGTGGTTTTCCGTGATCATGTGACTGCGATTTGCAAACTTTTGTGCCAGTTTCTCATCAAATCCTCTGTTACAGTCCTTGAGGCAACATATGTTCTGTAAGCCTGATCTAGTTCTTTCCCACTGAGATCATGTACAACTTTTAACAGACTATGGCACATTATGTGAAACTTGGAGTTACTACTTTAAATTGTAGTCTACTGATTTCATTGATGGAAATTGCTATGTGTTATATGTGGAAAAAAGATAAGAAGATATAGAACAAAAGAGACTCCATTTTTGTTCTTAATCTGACCTTCTAGAAAGATATCTGAACATTTATATAAGAATGTCATGTTTGTGTAACTTGTTATTGCCAAGTTAAAAATATTATGTCCTTGGCTTGAGATTTCATGCTAGGTCACCCTGACATTAAAGGAAGTTTGTTAATGACTTATTGTGTAAAGTGGACATAACAGAAAATCTGACGATGATGATGAGAGCTAGGGGATTTCTATGGAGGAGTCTGGGAGGAGTTATGGAAAAACACCCAGGTCTACCCATTTCTTTCTGATGAAAGTCCCTATAACTCCTATGTGTGAAAAGCAGGAAGTATTATGTAATCCTTTAAATGTGATATTCTATAAAAGGCTGTAACCATTTTAAGGGAGTGTCTCTTTCTCCTAATCTGCCATTAGGACTTGGGGTCCGATATTTGCAAATATCTTAAATAAAGCCTTCTACAGATCGTGGTTGTTAGGGATACAACACCCTAGCAGAACGTGCAACGGCAGTCAAGCAGACAGAGAGTGTGTGTGAGATAAAGCGTTGTTGTAGCTTTACACGCAGTAAGACAGATACACTGTGCAATTAAATAGTTTTTATTCCAGCAAGAGTTATAGCATAGTCAAAGCAGTCCATATGTCATACACTAAGTTCAGACAGTCCGAGGGTTATTCAGTTTGAAAAGTCCAGTGTAGAAAATAGGTCGTTCAACTCACAAACAATCAGTCCAGTGATGTATCTCTATTGCAGTCAGAGATATGAAGCAAAATCAAACCTTCTTTTCTTCTCTCAGCAAACGCACGCAGTAATCACCATCAATCCTTCTCTGTCAGCATTCCAGTAAAAGCCGGCGAACAGTGAGCTCTCTTGCTCCCTCTTATGGCGATTTACAACCGCACCCAAATACTTGGCTTACAGTTTAAAGTGACACACACATTTAAACTAACTAACATATATTATATTTAGCCAAACTAAGTTAGGTAACCAATGTTATCCCTAACAGTGGTTGTCACAGCCTGTTATTTTTATTCAAATTCTCTATGCCAAGAATGCATTTTCACAGGAACTACTTCTTGATTGGACCTCTCATTTTAATAAAATTAGTAATTAAAATTAGGAAGTTACACCATCAAGGTCTGGTCAAAATTTTCAAGTGAGACTTAAAGCCACAGCAAAATGCTGTTTTCCACATAAATGAGAGGAACAGTTGTATATACCAATATTCCCTGATAATGCTATGGTTGTAGCAGTACTAAAATCAAAGAATACAAAATTACAAACCATTCCTTGCCAAAGTGCTGGTGGTCCCATGTTATGAAATTCTCTCACATAATCATTGTAAGACTACAAAAAAGAAAGCACATATACAAGAATGTCAAAATCAAGCAATATTAAAATCATCTACCATTACCACCTATGAAAGACCATAAACTTACCCCACTTAAGAAGACATCTCTCCAAACTCCTGAAAATCGTCTGTTGGGAATAAGATTTATTAAATTAGACACAAATACACAGATACCTCAGGTTAGAAAACAGTATTGTTTAAACATTTCTTACCTGTCTATATCTTGGTATCTGGGGTCTTTTAAATACCCTGTTTAAAATCAAGCAGTGTTACATATTTATTAGATTTGGCAACATAACCATTACCATCTTTACTTTAAGCACTTGCTACTGATAAGGAGTGATCGTCCTCTTCCCAACTGGCCCATGAAATACAATTAGAAAAACTATGTAACACTTTCTGGCAAAGGTGGTCTGAATTTCAACTAATACTATCTTGTACAGGTGAAACTCAAAAAATTAGAATATTGTGCAAAAGTTCATTTATTTCAGTAATGCAACTTAAAAGGTGAAACTAATATATGAGATAGACTCATTACATGCAAAGCAAGATAGTTCAAGCCGTGATGTGTCATAATTGAGATGATTATGGCTTACAGCTCATGAAAACCCCAAATCCACAAATTCAGAAAAATAGAATATTGTGAAAAGGTTCAATATTCTAGGCTCAAAGTGTCCCACTCTAATCAGCGAATTAAGCCATAACACCTGCAAAGGGTTCCTGAGCCTTTAAATGGTCTCTCAGTCTGGTTCAGTAGGAATCACAAACATGGGAAAGACTGCTGACCTGACAGTTGTGCAGAAAACCATCATTGACACCCTCCATAAGGTGGGAAAGGCTCAAAAGGTAATTGCAAAAGAAGTTGGATGTTCCCAAAGTGCTGTATCAAAGCACATTAAGAGAAAGGTATGTGGAAGGGAACAGTGTGGAAGAAAATGGTGCACAAGCAGCAGGGATGACCGCAGCCTGGAGAGGATTGTCAGGAAAAGGCCATTCAAAAGTGTTGGGGACTTTCACAAGAAGTGGACTGAGGCTGGAGTCAGTGCATCAAGAGCCACCACACACAGACGGATCCTGGACATGGGCTTCAAATGTTGCTCCTGAACAACAAACAAAGTCAGAAGCATCTTACCTGGGCTAAAGAAAAACAGAACTGGTCTGTTGCTCAGTGGTCCAAAGTCCTCTTTTCTGATGAGAGCAACTTTTGCATCTCATTTGGAAACCAAGGACTCAGAGTCTGGAGGAAGAACGGAGAGGCACACACTGCAAGATGCTTGAACTCCAGTGTGAAGTTTCCACAGTCTGTGTTGATTTGGAGAGCCATGTCATCTGCTGGTGTTGGTCCACTGTGCTTCATTAAGGCCAGGGTCAATGTAGCCGTCTACCAGGAGATTTTGGAGCACTTCATGCTTCCTTCCGCAGACGAGCTTTATGGGGATGCTGACTTCATTTTCCAGCAGGACTTGGCATCTGCCCACACTGCCAAAAGCACCAAACCCTGGTTCAATGACCGTGGGATTACTGTGCTTAATTGGCCAGCAAACTCGCCTGACCGGAACCCCATAGAGAATCTATGGGGCATTGCCAAGAGAAAGGTGAGAGACATGAGACCGAACAATGCAGAAGAGCTGCAAGCCGCCATTGAAGCATCCTGGTCTTCCATAACACCTCAGCAGTGCCACAGGCTGATCACTTCCATGCCACGCCGCATTGAGGCAGTAATTGCTGCAAAAGGGGCCCAAACCAAGTACTGAGTACATATGCATGCTTATACTTTTCAGAGCTCCGATATTGTTCTGTGTACAATCCTTGTTTTATTGATTGCATGTAATATACTAATTTTCTGAGATTGTGGATTTGGGATTTTCATGAGCTGTAAGCCATAATCATCTCAATTATGACAAATCACAGCTTGAACTATCTTGCTTTGCATGTAATGAGTATATTAGGTTCACCTTTTAAGTTGCATTACTGAAATAAATGAACTTTTGCACAATATTATAATTTTTCGAGTTTCACCTGTATATATATACTGTATGTGTATATACATATACATATACTTGTTTTCTGAGTTTCTCGCAGGTATTTGTATGTGGATCTTTGATTATTCGGGTTTTCTCCTGCGTAAAATTGGAAGTATCTGTTAGGGATAACATTGTTTTACCCTAACTGTTTTGGGTAAAGATAATAAAATGATGAATCATGGTTTGTCAGATAAAGTGTATGTGACTTTAAGCTAAAGGAATGTAATTAAGGGTGCAGCTGTAAAAGTACTATATAAGCAGCAAGGCACTCTCTGGCTCTTACTGGCTGGCTTATTGAAGACTGCATTCTTGCTGGATCGGGGAGGAGAAGAAGTGTTGGATTACTTTGAAGATATTTCTCAACGGAGAGAAGATAAGTTTTGGACAGATTTATTATATGTGTACTGACACTGGCTATTCCACACGGACTTTGCAATTAGACTATCCTCGACAAGACTTGACTGAAATTGATATATGACTAATGGACCGTTTAATTTGACTATGCTATAATTCTTAAATGGAATAAATTATAATTTTGATAGCACAAGCGTATCTGTATTTTTACTGCGTGTTAACTAGAAAACTTATCTCACACATTTACCT